TCATGATCTGCTGCTTACTGGCTTCAAAAAAATATCTGGCCCAGATAAATTCCTCTGTTTGAAAATCTGGCCCAACTAACTTCGTAGTTGAATAGGCATGCTGTAGAGGATGCTTAGTTACCTGTCTTTGATACTTGTGCTTATCTGTTCAATAAGTTTTGCAAGCTTCTTTTGGTTTATTACAGACAAACTTCCAGCAGACAGATTGAAGACCATCGTCATAGTGATCCACCAGAGAAGGGGCGTCTGCAATCAGAGTTTCTTAACAGAGCAGAGTTATTGACACCTACACAGGCTGTTTCTCACATCAGCTTTTCTTCACTCATTCAGTAATCTGTATACACCATCAGTAGTTCATTTATCATCCACACAGTAAAAACATAATGAAAACATGTGTATAGATCCTTCTAATCAATGCTGAGATTTGGGTTAAAGTGAAAGAAGAATGCCGCCTTCTCATTCAAACCCAGAGCTTTTTGCTGTGAAAAATAAATATATTTAACTGGCTGTTACCAAAAGATCTTTGACTGTGTGATTTAACATCAGCTGACCCTGATTTGCATGGACAGGTGTCCACATCTGGAGCTTGATATGAGACACTTCAAATGTCAGACTAAAGTTAATTTATTTAAATAAAATTAACCCTTTATTGACCAAGCATCATTTAAGCCGCCTGGACTTTTTTCTAACTGCATTAATAAAGGATATATAAAACTCCGAGTTACAGTCGTTTAAAGAGCGCTTGTAAAATCGTCAATAAAGGCTTTAAGAGTCAAATGTGGTCACTACTCACCTTTGCTGTTTTGGTGTTCCCAAACTGTCTGATTCAGTTTTAGTAGAGAACTGGTGTTTGGACACTGTCGCCAAATGTCCTTAAATCAAAGTAAAACCATGTAAAACCACTATTTATAGCAAAAACAAACAGATCTTTCTTAAGTGTCTCTTACTTGCCGTCAGATCGTTCAGGTAAATGTTTGTCACCGGCAGGGGCGGAGCGTGGGGGTGGCTTACTGGGCTTAAGCCGGGGTTGTTTTGTCAGAAGCCCGGGGTCTTTTGGAGTGTAATTTTTTCATAGTTAGATGCCTGGCTGACAACTGTATAAAACAAAAAGTACACACAATATTCGAAGCACATAATGCACACAGTGGGAATTTACGACTGTGCGTGAATCCCCCTGATATTGGTATGATCCGAGCTCAGGCACTAAGCAACTGAGCGAGGGGGCGGGGCTGCAGCCAGGTGCTCTTGTGCCTGTGAGTGCGCTGTTGGAGTAACGGAGCCAGCCATACTAAGGAGAGCTTAAGTTTGACCAGGTACCAAAGCAAACCATTCATACCGTACAAATGACGGTGAATCACGAAAGATTGATATCAAACTGATCACTTGACCCATATTACGTTACTTGCTCTTCAAGTGAATCAACAAATGGCGAAATGAAAAGCCGAACAAATGCTTTTTTTTTTAGAGAGTCTTAGCTTACGTGTGTTTATTTCATATTTTCTCCAG